CGGGAGGCTTTAGCGGGGCCCTGCGCGGCACCAGCACGAGCCGTTCCCCTGCATTTTGTGTGTATCGGCTCTCGCGGAGGTGACACAAGGCCAGGAGAGCCAGGTGGCCCTTAGGCCCGAAGCCCGCAGGCTGCTGGACACAAGTCCCGATGTGTGGCAGGAGAAAGAGGAAGGTGCTGCTTCTCTGTACCCTTGGGTTCCCTCTGTGGTGAAAGTGAGAATGTGTCCGCACCTTGCTGGGCAGAGGCTACAGGTAGGAGTCTCTCAGCCAGGAGTCTCAGGAGTGGACCCTGTCCCTTGAGCAGAGAGCTGAGGACTTGCCCAGGTGTCACCTGGATGTGCCACAGTGACACTGCTCTCCTGACTCGCTTTCCAGAATGTTCTCCCAGCTCGCAGCCTCTGACTCCATGAGGTGGTGGCATGTGCCTCCCAAGAGGCAGTTTGGCTTTTTCTGAAAACGTTAGCTGGGGCAGCTAGCAGAAAATGTTAGGAATGTATGGAAATGTTAAGACGTTCCCCATGTTGCTTCTCATGTTTTTAACATTCTAGTTTTCTGCTTTACACATTCCACATCTTGGATTTCTTCTGGTTTTGCATATCTTCCAGGGATTTCACTATTTCTGCTTTGTTCTGTTGCTGTTTAAAGATTGTCCTCTTTATTCTAATTCTTTGGGACTGCAATCTCCCTTCTTCTCTAAGCCTTGACATGACTTCTTGCTTCGTTTCTTGTTATAATTTTTCTATACCCAATGTTCCTCTTTCTACCTGCCTACCATTTCTTCCTTACCTCTTGGTTGAGTCTCTTCTGTTTGTAGACTCCTTCCAATGGAAGAATGTGGGTGTTTCTTTGTTTGTGTGTTTTTTTTTTTTCCTCCTTCTTTCACTTTCATTGGTCTTCACTGGTTGGAGGTATTTGCTGTTGAAGAAGGGTCTTTTGTCAGAACTTGTTCAACATCTAGTGTTTCTACTTTCCTCAGTGATACTGAAGTAGCAGTTGATCTCCTTGGTATTGAGAAGTAAGAAAGAAGTCTTAATGACTTTTTCCAGTGCTCTGCGGAGGATAGATTTAGGGCTCCTCTTAGTGGTAGGATTTTAATAGAGCACAAACATATCAAACCACTTCAGATATATCTTAAAATGATTTCTAATACTGCTCTTCCCAGAGTTTGTAGCATACACAGTTGTCATTTCCTATTGCAAACATATTTTTTGAATAAAAATGTTTTAATAAATTGTTGTTAAATTCACAATGTAAATAGATGGAAACTCTGAGTAAGAATATTCTCCTTCATTTCTCTGTTTTGTTTACTGTAATTATTACTTTTATTAATATAAAGGAAGAGATTAGTTGGTTTTGGGTGTGAGCAAGGTCCCTTCAGAAGATTTAAATATTTGAATAAAGAATTGCTTTATGTCAGTTTAGCAATGCTCTGAGGGAAACAATTATTTTTTCTAGTTTTCCTGGAAGTGCAGAAAGATGACACATGACAGTAATATTGGAAGCCTGCTCTCTCTGCATAAAGTTATTTCCACCTAAAAAAAAAAAGATGCTAAACCAATGCATCTGAGTGAACTGGGATCTTTGTTTGTCATTTAAGTCAAGGTAGAGATTAAGTTTAAACCAGTGTAAAAACAATAACATGCAGAGTTTTGCCTGTTAACTTGTATTACTTCAGTGTAGTATGTTTGGATAAGCTGATTTAACTTTGTGTACACAAATCAATTACATAGTTAGAAAGGTAATACTTAACATGTTAGAGTTAGGGGATCTTGATGTAGATTCAGGGAATAGCAGCATGTCCAACCTGATATAACCTTGGCCACCACAGCCTATGCAGCCTATAAATAGCAGGGGAATCAAATGTGGAGCCTACTTATGAACTTTTATCTACCATCTGCCTCCCCAGATAGAATTGTGAGCAGATACTGTATTTGAAGGTTGTAGAAACAGCACTTTGTTCCTCTTGCTTCCTGCTGTGTGATATTCCCTGTGATTTTTTTTTTCATTTAATGAAGCTTGAATAATAGTTCTCATGAAGTCCTAGCTAAGTGATCTGCTACAAAAGAAATCTGACCAGCTCACCATGTAGAATATATTTTGAGTTTCTTCAGGATGCCGAATGTAAACCTAAGTATGGTTTGGCATAACAGCAACTGTTAATATGCCTTTCAGTAGTAATTAAAACTTAAAAATACAACAACAAAAAACCCTTTTTTTTGGTATTTGTGGCATTTATAAAAGGAAAGCAGCATATAGTGTAATAGATGCATGCTGGTTTGTTTTAGGTACTTTGCATAATTCTCAGTTTTTGAAGAAAACATCGGATTTTCGCATCTGCTCTGATTCTTGTGCAATCAGTGTTAAGTGTTTCTGATTCTTATGTTAATTAGTAGTAGGTGACTTGGTCTGACTTATTGGAATCTAATTTTGATTTAGAAAATACCTAAGTTTCTAAATTTTAAACATATGGATACTTGAGAATGGATTAAACGCTACTAGTTAGGTCAAGGCTGCTTAGGTTTTAAGAGCTAGTCTCCAGGTGAAAACAGTTTTGGTGGTCTTTCATATGATGTCTAACCATGGGCAAATCAAATTTTGCAGCTCCATGAGATGTGAATAACAATATTTTGAAGAAGGCAGACTCTTCAGTTCTGCTGCATTGATGTTCAC